TGCTTGTTTATATTTCTGTTTTTGTTTTCTTTGAACATTGCTAGCTATCTACTTTCCTTTCCTCTCAGATGTCACTGAGACTTCAGAATATTGGAGAGAGAGAGAGAGAGAGGAGAGAGACTCAACAACCGTGGTAAGCACTGATGGAGATCGCCGCACTAGATTGTCTCCATCACAAATTGCCAATGCTAGAGTGAGAGACACTGAGAAAGACAGCCTAACTGCAAACAGGGTAGTCAAAAAACATATGGGGAAATGGGAGGGTATCCATCCCTGACCCATCCCCGTTGGAGATTTAAAGCATACCACCGACCCAGCCCAATGGATATAAAAAGTGGGAAAAATCCATGTAATCAGGTCAGATCTCCATGGGTAACCACTAGATAAGATATCGATTGCCATCCCTAGTGGCCATGGTTTTGGTGGTGGTGATGGAGGACTAGAAAGAGGGAGAGAAGCGAGAGAGAAACAATAGAGAAAAGAGGAAGAAGAATGACATTGTTTTGTAAATTTGAAAGGGTATGAAGGGTATGTTTGTCTTAAAAAATATCATACTCTACATCTTGGCACGTCACTGCCACAGTCTGTTAGTTTGGATGGAAAAGCTAACTGTATACTTTGGTTTACAAAATTGACTATAAGGGGATTATGTGGTCATTTTTTAATGATAAAGGAGTCATCCACATATGGGTTAAATCACAAGGGAGTAAAGTAAAATTTGCCCATTCATCTTCTTCAACAAAGAAAGATCCGATTGCTCGACTTTACCCAAAGCAAGTACCCCCAATAGAAAGCACCACCAAATGTCGAAGCCTGATCTCCTATCTCTTTTCACTATTAAAAGCCAGCTTCCCTTCTTCGTTGTTAACCTCTTTGTCTTTCTCATGATTATCATTGAACAATAATTTCCCTGTTTTATTTTAAATGATGCCAAGGGATGACAAGTTACTATTGACAAACCACCTTCTCTTCATACCTATCGGGAATAAATCTGTCCAAAGCCACTAACTCCATTCCAATCAAAGGATTGAGCTGATCAGAAGTCCCTTTGATCCTCGCGATACTCCAAATCATCTAAAGTCACACGTCTTTTACTTTGTATGCTTGCCACCCCACCATTATCTCCCATGCTAGTAATATCATCCAGGAACATGGAAGACTCCCCATGAACAGAAGTCCCTTTGATTATCGCCATCCTCCGAACATCACCAAGCCCATCCTTAGACACTCCAATAATATGCTTCCCTTCTTAGACTTCCCAAAGAAGTGCTCTCTCGATTTCTTTAGACACCTCCTTGTCTCCTTCATAAACTGGTAGTCCAAAACCCAATGAAGAGAGAAACCTCCGAACTCCTCCTCTTTTCCACCTCCACCACTTGAAGCCCCTCTTTCTCACCCACGAAGCCAATACTCTTCCATCCAAGTTGAATGAACCTCATCATCCTTAAGCCATATAACTAGAGAATTCCTCTATTGAAGTTGTCATTTGAAGATTGAAGCAGAAAAGACTAAATTGCAAAGAAAAAACACAAAGATTGAAGAATCTTCAGAAGATAGTTTCTCACAAGAAAGTGGAAGCAAACAACACTGTATAACAAAGCCCTAAATAGAGAGAGGGAAACGAAGCAGCCAAGAGGAACCCTAACCCCGACAATGGAATAGCCTAATGAAACCCTAAACCCACCCCCACAAAAAAAAGTAAAAAAAAAAAGAAGAAAGAAAATTGAAGCAAAGCAAGAAGGAAAAACAAAAGTAAATGATCCTTACAGAAATTATGCAGAGAGAGAATGCAAAATCGATCATGTCATACAAATGATATTAATTAAGGGAACTAATAAGGGTTCGGGCTAAATAAGTAAACCAAATATGAGAATAAATGGCATATGAATGAGATATTTATTGAGATGACTGATGTTTTGTTTTTTTCTCATGTTATGTTGATATTTTTGTTATTGTAAATTTTTTAGATGTCTGTGTATTGTTGATGAGGAAAAAATTTCTTTAAGTTGATAATATTATATTATTGCAAGCTTAAGGGCAGGGGCGGAGCTATGCTTTGAATAGTGGTGTCAATTGACACTACTGAACTTTAAATTTTTGATCGAGTATATGTAAAAAATTATGAGTATTTACAAATTGAACCTAGTGGACCTAAACCAAACCAAACCAAACCAAATCAAACAAAACCAAGCCTTAAGTCCCATCAAATGGGGTCGGCCACATGAATCATTCTTCTCCACGCGACTCTGTCAAAGGTCATTTCGTTAGTCAAATTAAGTAGTTTCATATTTCTATTTACAACGCTAGACAACATTAATCTAGGTCTATCTGGTCTCCTAACACTACCATCTACTGTCACTACATCGCATCTTTTCACTATTGCCTCTGTTAGTCTCCGTTGAATATGACTAAATCATCTCAATCAATTCTCTCTCAACTTATCTTCTATCAGTACTACTCTTACCCATTTTCGAATACACTCATTCTTAATTTTGTCTTGTCTAGTCTTGCCACATATCCATCTTAGCATCCTCATCTCAGCAACACTCATCTTATCTACATATTGTTTTTTGGTTGCCTAACACTCCGTTCCATATAACATTGCTAGTCTAATAGCCATTCTATAGAACTTACCTTTTAGTCTAGTGGGTATTCGTTTATCGCACAGCACTCCAGATGCACTTTTCTAGTTAAGCCATCCCTCCTTAATCTTATAGGCCACATCCGCATCAATCTCCCCCATCTGCATCAATCTCCTTCGCTATTGTGATAATCAACCCTAAATACCGAAAATATTCACTCTTAGGCAATTATTGGTTCTCAATCTTCACTTCTCCTTTGCTTTCATTGTTACTGTTACTAAATTTACACTCCATATATTCTGTCTTAGTCCTGCTTATCCGGAATCCTTTAGATTCGAGTGCTTTTCTCTAAATTTCCATCTTTGTGTTAACTCCTCTAGTCTCATCCATTAACACGATATCATCTGCAAAAAGCATATACCATGACACGCCATCCTGAATATTTCTTGTTAATTCATCCATAACTAAAGCAAAAAGATAAAGACTTAAGGTAGATCCTTGGTGTAACCCTACAGTGATAGGAAATTCATTTATTTCTCCAACCGGCAATCTAATAAATAAAATAAATTAATTTGTAAATTTTTACAAATCGACCCAAGTAGGTAAAAACAAAAACAAAATCAAACTTTATGCAGCGATTTCAGAAAATAAAAAGTCGTCGCGGACAATTGTAATAATGTAGATATTTACTTATTTTTGTTGAAGTAAGGGTGTTAATATCCCAATATTTTGTTTTTACATGTAATTTCACTAGTTTGGGCTACTTTTGTCAATGTGATTTGGGAATATATGAAATTTACAGAGTATTATGTGAATGTTAATGTTGACAGATTGTGTAGAACTAAAAATATGATATATTACATTGATGATGCTTTGTTAAATGACCCCGCTAAAGGAAATTCTTGGCTACGCCACTGCTTAAGAGGCCATTTGGGAACAAAGATCATGAAACTTGTCTATTTTCTTTCCTGTGCTTTTGGTGAATGAGAAAATTTTGGTACAAGAGATGGCATCCCAAAAAGAAACAGGAAAAGGAAAATGAATAAAAAGGGACAAAATATTTATCCAAAAAAAAAAAACAAAAAGGGACAAAATTTACCCCGAGTCAGTGTCTTGTAAAATTAGTAACTGAACTAGTACCTCAATTCAATAGAATAGTGGCTTAAATTCGAGCAAACCTCAGGGACTAAGAGGATAAGTTGTATTAACTCATAAGATAGGTCTCAAATTAATTCAAGGAATTATGCTTGTGATTAAAAACTAAAATTAAAATTAAATTAAGTGTAATCAAAAGTAATTGTGTTTCAAAAGTTAAGGAGGACTTGGGGTTTTGATTCTACCATTTGCCTCACAATAAAGATTTATTGTGTTGATTATATGATTTGGTAATTGATGATCACAACTCACTATGACTACAAGTCTGTTGACATCTTCAAGAAGATTCGTGTACTAAAGTTCTTGGCAGGAATCAGTTAGCACGAATCGTTTATGCTAAAACTACAGTCATAGAAAGATTTGTCTTCCTTGGAATACTCTGTCTTACTACTCAAATCTGTCTACAAAGAAAACCATTGTATAAACCATGTATTCAAGATCAAAAAAGTCAAGCACAATCTTGGAATTTGACAATAAAACCGTTTATATTATTAATAAACCTCTTGTTCATAAAGTCATCGTACATAAAAACTAATCTCAAAATGAAAATACTTTAAATCCTATACTCAACTAGGGTATCATCTGAACCCTAAGAAGAAGAGTCTAGCTGCTCATTGCAGGAACAGAATCCACGTTTATTGATGAAACTCCATTGAAGACCTTGGGGAATCACCTCTCTTGCTTTTTAGTCTCTTTCTCAAAGAATGAACGACCCTATTTTTGTGTCCAAGAGCTGCGGTTTTATACCACCAAGCAAATTAAGGTTAGGGTTGAAACAGGTCAAAATCGTGCAATTCTGAACTACAGGCTGACCGCCACTCGAGTGGAGCATGGTGAGCAATCACTTTTGAGCTGTGTGAAATTCTTCATTCATGGTATCCCACTGCCTGTGTGGGGATGGGTGGAGGACTGAGCAGTGGGAAGCTGAGAGCTTCCTATCATTCCATTTTCTCTTTGATTCCTATGAAGTGCATACAGATCACTTCTTTGAGCTTCTTAACTTTCCATTTATGGTCAAGTTCCATGTGAACAGCCCCTGTGGTCTGCAATCATGCTAACTGAAACACATCAAGTAACAATGGTCATGGACTTAACAACTGTATATTAGTGGGCCTTAATATTTACATTTCGGCACCAATCAGTGTCTAAAAAGTTTTTGAATCAAGGCCCTAGTTATTTGAATTAAATGGTTCTTTGTAATTGTCTTAATTGCATTGTTTCGTTTTAAAAGACATGCTAATGTCACAGAAATTTGGACTGCAGATGTTGCCAATTGTAGATGAAGTGATGCCTAGCAAAGAAACGGTGGAGAATGAGTTTAGCAAAGGGATGCTAGTTGAAGTTAGCAGCGATGAAGATGGTTTCCAAGGTGCTTGGTTTGCTGCAACTATTGTTGAACGATTACAGGAGGGCAGATTTCTGATTGAGTACAAGAGCCTAAGAAATGATGATGATACAGATTTTTTGAGAGAGGAAGCTGATACTCTGCATATAAGGCCCTATCCACCTGACACATTAGTGGTTGACCGTTTCAATATGCTTGAAGAAGTTGATGCTCTGTACAATGATGGGTGGTGGGTAGGTGTGATTTCGAAAGTTCTTGATGGCCAACGGTATGTAGTCTACTTTAGGAGCACCAATGAAGAAATTGAGTTCGAACACTCTGATTTAAGGCTACATCAAGACTGGATTGATGGCAAATGGGTTATGGCTTCACAGGTATGACATCTTGTTGCTTCTAACAAATTATCATAATGTGGATTTGATTTTGTGCTCCTATCTATGAGTCCTTTTATGGAAGTTGGAACTGAAATATTTGTTCTTTTGATCACATAGAGGAAACACATGTGCCCAAAGAAGCGCAGATACTTTTAAGAAGTTGGCATATCGTGCGCAGACACTTTTAAGAAGTTGGCATATCGTGGCATGAGTCGCATGACACTCATCAGACATTCTCCACACCTGTCAGACACAATGTCCAAACATGTCCTACCATTTTTTAAAATATTATAGACTTGGACATGCTTTAGACACTTGGTAAACACGTCTATTTCTTAGACCCACATGGAGCACGTCATAAGTTTGAATAAAAATATAAATTTATACCTATTCTCCTTCTTTGGATATTAAAAAAGTCACCATTACATTGCATTTTGTTATTATCTTTGATATGCATGACATATAATAATTGCTTATCCCTATATATGGCATATTTTGCTCATCATTCATATGTTTTGTTCAAGATTTTTTTTAAAAATTATGTAATATGTATTAGTATGTTGGTGTCGTGTTAGTGTCGCATGTTTGTCTCTGTGCTTCATAGACGCATGGATTGAAGGGCCTACAACTCCAAAGTCACACTAGGCTAACTCTTGGACAGTGATGCAGACCTATAAAACTCACTTAGGTGGTGTACACATTTGATGTGAGATACAAATTTTCATTTTTTTTTTTTTTTGGTTTTTGTTTTACTTAGCTGGAACACACACACAGTAGAAACACAATACTCTTTTTATATATATACATATATATATATATATATATATATAAATTTTAACATGATACTTAATTCAGTTAAATTCTTATTCAGATAGGATTCTCAAGCTGAATTAAGGATGAACTGAAAAAGAAGGAATCTGCTGGTTGTCTTAATGCAATAAAATATGAGAATTTGTCATTTTTTTTGTTTTTTTTTTTGCAGAAAGTTTTGAACATATACAATTTTTTGAAAAAAGAAAAAAAATCGAAGTGTTGAAAATTGTCTCCTTATATTTTTGCTACAAGTTAATCATGTGGGCACAAACAGGTGAACTAGCATCGAGCAGTGTCTTATATGTTGCAATTTATTTATTTATTTACTCTTTTTACCTTCTTTTTGATGTGGAGTTTCAATTGCTGACCTCAACATGACAGTCATTGGTGAATTTACATTTTTCTCCCAAGTTATATTGTTGATATTTAGCTATCAGTTTTATTTTACTTCTTTTTTTCTTTTTCTTTTTTTCAGGCTTTGAAGTTGTAATTAGCAAGGAAAGTGCAAGAGAGAACTGTGCTATGAGAACTAGAATTATTACAATATGTATAATTGGTGTGTATTCTTCTGTCCCTATGTTGATATTTAACTGTGTTGTCCTTAAACATATGGTGGCAGTGTAATATCCTAACTTGAATTGGGAATTTGAATATCCCTGCATAAATTTATATCGAGTGGATTTTTTTTTTTAAACCTTTATTTATTATTATTATTATTATTATTATTATTATTATTTTTTTTATTATTATTATTATTATTATGAACATTAAAAGTCTTTTAATCCAACAAATAGGTTATCTTGCAATGAGTTACAGATTTTAAATTGAAATTTCTTTGTAGCTATGTCAAACTTGAGAAATTTCAAGATGTGCCACAATTGAACCTTTTATGGTAAGCAGAGAACATATCTATGTTCTTCGTATGCCTAAGCGTGGTTGCTTTGGTGGTAATCTTGAGACTGTTAGGCATGGTTGCTTTGGTGGTAATCTTGAGACTCAGGTATTACTTTCGTTAGACTTATTTTTGATAGGTTTTGTATTGAGGTTCTTAGGAAATTATTTTGAAGGTTGTGTTTAGATTATAAATTTGTATATGAATTTGTTGAGAGATAAGAAAGACATAGGGAATGTGAATGACTTTCTATCCACAATTTTTTACTTAAATTTGTGATTCAAATACATTCTGAGGATATTATGATCAAGGATAAATTATAAATATATTTCTTGAAATTTGTTTAAAATACTTTGTGGTTTAAAAAATTACATCACTCTTTCAAATTTCTAATCGTATAAAAAATGACTTCTTTTATTAAGTTTGCATAAAATATTAATTGTCTCTGTCATTTTGAAATTCTATCTTGCTTATTGAAGTAATTAATAATTTTAATAATGTCAAAAATATATTTTAATTAATAGTTTTGTTAACTTTATTGTTATATAGAAAGATAGTTAGAAATTTTATTATTTCTGTTAACTTTGTTAAATGATAAATTTTTTAAATTAAAGGTATTTGTAATTTTTAAAATTACAAGAAACAATTTGTATTTTAATCAAAATATAATTTACCCTAAGATTAATTTAGAATATGGAAGTGACATGCTTGTAATCCACAAAGATGATTTAATTGTAGCCGTTTGGGTATACCTACAAAGTTTGTTCCAAAACAAGAATGAAAAAGTATAGGTAAATTATATTGACTTTCTTGAGATTTAAAGAAAAATATAATAAAATTTAAAATTTTAATATAATTATGTTAAATTTTTTATTAGTGATAGTAAAAGGGGGACAAATTTAATGCAAATTGTGTGTAAATACAAGGATAAACAAGAAAAATATATATTTCATTATAAAAATGATAGCATCTTGATTTATTCATATAACTAATAAATTTTCAATAAAAATATGGTTAAATGTTATGTGAATTAAAATTTTAAGAAATTATAAAAACTTATTATATTTTTTAAAATTTTAGGGGAGATTAATGGTAAAAGTAATAAGAAGGTTTTGTGTAAGAAGCATGAAGAAATTTCAAATGAATTAAAGGGAGGTGACATATAGAAAAAGGTAAACTACACTTTCTTGAGGTCTGAAAATATAACAATTCTGGTTTAGATTCGACCCATTTTGTATTCTGGACTCGGGTTTTATAGTTTCATTTTGTTGTTCATGTCTTACTTCCTTTTTACTTTCTTGAGTTTGACCATTGGATTGTATTGGTTGTGTTTGGAATAAGTTGGTTGTTTGGTTTTCAAACTTTTGTTACCTAGAATTTTACTCCTTCGCTTGAGCATCATTTTTTGTGCTTGAGCGGATTTTGTGAATTCTCAATATTTTTGCAGGTTTGCAAAACTATTGAGAGAGTTTATTCTATGCTCGAGTGGTGTTTCTTACACTTGAGTGGTCTTGGCTCGAGCGACCTTTCTTGCGCTCGAGCGTTGGTCTGCTGTTTGCAAAACTACTGAAACTGTGTATTCTACGCTCTGGCGTCACTTCTTGCGGTCGAGCGGAACAACTTATTGTGTCTGGACGCTCGAGCGTCACTTCTTGCACTCGAGCGAACTGTGCATATATCAGTTTATAAAAGTCACTTTTTCATTTCTTTCTCTCTCTAAATATTTCAAAACCCTAAAGTTGAGACCTTTTCTTTCTAGGACCTACTCTTTCTCTACAAATACACCAAGATCCACCCATTTCTCCACCTTACTCCCTTTGTTAAAAAGGTAGAGTGCATCTAGAGCTTTGTTTTCATCCGAATAAAGTTGGATTTCAGCTTCCTTGAAGTTTCTCCACTCTCTCCTTGGTCTCCTAGCTTCGAGGTAGAGATTTTCTATACTCTTTTATGATTTTTAACTTAGTTATTTGTTTTTTATAAACAATATTGTGATTTTGGAGGATTTTGAACAAACCTAGGATTTTGGTTTAAAATTAAAAGAGGAGTTTTCAAATGGTTGTATGGAAAATGGTTGTGCGAGTGGAATTGAGGTTGAGTTAAGAATATATTATTGATTTTGACCATTGGGTTGGATTTTGGAAGAAAAGAGGATTTTGCCCTAAATGTCTCAAATATTTATTTTGTATAAATAAACGAAATTGATGATGGAAATGTAAAATTGGATGGATATTAATATGGATGGTGGAGTTGAATATGTATTATCGCTCACATCTTGAATTTTGGAAAGTTTATCTATATTGGAGATTTTATATCTGCTTAGAAATATCTGTTTTGGGCTATCGGTGGAAGATAGCTATGATTGTTGCAGAATTATATGAGGATTAGGTGAATTGAAACTAATTTCTCAACCACGTGCATTAAACATTTGTTGCTCATTTAATACATTATAAATGTATATGATTTTGAGAAAAATTAGTGAATGTTGGAAAGAGATGTGTATCACCAAATTAAGTTGGCTTATGTGTCCAGAGTGAAAGTCCCGAAAAACTTGCGTATACATGGGTGCCAATTCCCGCAGACAAAATATCTGTAAAATGGCAATAGTAGTGCTTGTATAGACTACGTTTACATGGGTGCCATTTTACGGTTTCTGGCGGACGAAATATCCGTAAAAGGTTGTACCGGTTTGAGAATTTTCCCCTTGTTTTCTATGGTAAAGAACATGATTTGAGAATTGTAATATAAATTGAGCATGGCATGATTTTGAGAAAGAAATGTAAACCGTTTTGGCATGGGTATTGCATATGCATTCATCCTTATATCTTTGTTAAAATTCATATATTGTGTTAGATCATTTCTACTGGGTTTTGGCTCACCCTATACGGGGAAAACTATTTTCAGGTGCTGGTGATATGCCTCCATCAAGGACATAACTTGGGAGGTCTGTGGAGCTAAAGGCTCGGTTTTGTTCTTTTGTATTCACTTTTGTACAAGCCTAGGACTTTATTTGTATTGAGCTTAAAACTCACTTTTGATGCACACAAGCCTTGACTTAGAAAGATGTAAGCCTTTAGGGCATGTGATTATCTGTTTAGTTTTTATTACATTATTACTGTTTTATAACACATGCTGTAGATTTAGAATGTACTATTTATGAATGTATATCGCATGTGTCACCTTTTTGTACAATCAAATCTCATGTAATAGAAGGGCAGTATACTCTTGATTCATATTGTTATTTACTTATCGTCTTGGATGGTTTATTGCATTTATTTCGAGGCGCTACAAAAAAAAAAAAAAAAAAAAAAAATTACTGAATTTTACAAGAGGGATTTATTGGGAAATCATTTGTCAAGTACTTGTATCTCAATTAGTTCATATCATGTTCTTGTACTCCAATATTATTTGGACATTTGATTCACAAAATTCTATTTCTCATGTTTAAGGCATTTTGTGAACAATTTTATTCTTATAAATATTTTTTGAACGCTTAATAATTTGGTGATATAAGCATTCATATTTTATAATGTGAATGTTCACATTGACATGTGAATATTCACATCACGGAACATTCACACTGGTAATGTGAATATTATTATTATGAGTATTTTAATAACTATGTCACCCATAGAACTTTTTCAAGCATAAGAAAATAATTTTGATTAGTAGAATATAAGTAGGTGAAGAGAGATTCATGAATAAATATCCCATTTTGCAAGTTTGATATAATTATAT